TTGCAAAAGTATCACTTTTTTGTTGGGGCAATTAGAAACAAACCAAAAAATAAAATCCCTTCAGTAATTGCATCCAGATACTCCCAGATGTTGAACCTAAACCCTTTAAACCATCCACACCCCAGGAAGCTATGAGCTTTGGGAAAAAATCGGAGCTTATTTTGAAAAGAGATTTTTACTAGTCAGTCTGGCCCCACTTAGGGAAGCCCTTTCTTCTGAGGCTGTTCAGAAGAGCTGTCAGAATCTCAGTTGCTGGCATCCTCAGGAAATTCATGCTCTTAAATGTGTATGTTCTGCTTTTTATAAAGCAGCACCACCACACTGGGGAAGTTGGATTCCCTCCAGCAGTCGTGTGCATGACTTAAAAAAGAGCACAAGGGAGAAAAAAAAAGTGACCTGTGTTATGAAAAAGATTAATTTCCCCTTTCTTTAATCCTTCATATTCAGCTTTTATTTGCATTGAAATGCCTCCACTCATTATGCATTGATGTTCACTCAGCTGTGAACCCTGCTTGTTGCATAGCTCAAGGCACTGGGTTTGTGGGACCTGATCACTCTGGATTCCCAGGGAAAACCCGCCCGATTCTTGTTCTGGTGGTGCACACTTTCTTTTCCTGTTCAACCTCTGTAGAGAGATTGGAAAGGACAGCTAATGGCACTTCTTTAGGGAAAAAACTCCCTGCCCTCCTACAGACCCTGGTACTGTTAATGAAGCCACATTGGGTTCATTATGTAGTTAATAGTTCACCAAGCAGTACGTAGCACCTTGAATTCTGAGCTGGAACTGTCTGGTTTTCTTAATACCAAAATAACACGGAAAGGCAGAAGGTAGAGAACCTATAAATGGTGGCGGGGGTGGGGAGCGGGGTGTTTATATACTTCTGTGTTTGAATGACAGCCTGAGCACAGAAGACTCTGGATTGATTTTTCCACCTGGACAGATTGTGTATGTGCCTAGAGAAAAATACCAGGAGCTGCAAGAGTTCAGGTTATGAAGCTGTTTTGTGTGTCATGATAAGAAAGTTTACAAGAACCTTACAAGTTTATAAGAACCCACCTCAGCATCCAAAATACGCAGTTGGAGCCACATGAGAAGATGACAGAGTAACTTGGAAACTTCTTTTCATGGTTAGACTGTGAAAGTCTGTCTTTAGTTCATTGGTGGCAGTAAAATGTGTCTTATTTGCAGAGACACCAGAGAGGAAGTGTGGAAGAGACTTGAGGGTTGATGGCTCTCCATTGCTCAGTGATGAATAGCATAATTTAAAGCTTAGTGGAAATTCTGAGCAGCCCGAGTACAAACTCACCCTGGAATAGACAGCTTCTCAGTGCTTTACACTTTGCGCTGACCTTGTAACTGTATAACAACAGCTCATCCTGGGGGATGTCTTCACGTTTCTGAGCTGGTTTTCTTTTGCAGCCTCAAAATCTGCACCCCCTTTTGGTTGATTGGGTTCAGTAGCTCCCAGTTGGTATAGTACTTAAAGGATTCAGTGTTTTTATATTTGTTTTTCCAGGCAGGACCCAGTCTCAAACAAGCTCAGAGTAGGATATATATTTATATATATAAATAAATAAAACCGGAGACATTCTCCATCAGGATTTAGGAGGCTTTAGCTTTGCAGTCAGATGTTTGGAATGGGGTAAGCGATTTTTTTTTTGGTTGCTAGAGCTAATGTGGAAAAAAAGAACTGTGTGTCCCCTCTTTTCTTTTTACGCTGTAAATTTACAGAAACTGATTTTTTTCCTAGGGAGTAGGTATGAAAAAATTAGACTTTCACAATTACTTTTACAAATAATTACAGAGTTAGGACTTTTAAGAGTTATAACCCCAAATCTCTTTCCATTTTGATTATGTAATAAATAGTCTTTAAAGCCTATTTATATGGAGTTCATTTACTTTGGTTAAAAAAAAAATTAATGCCTTTGCTAAAGCTCCTAGCCAAGATTGAGATAGTATGGAGTGGTTTCTTTTGCCTATCTGGAAAAGGCCAGTGAAAAGCAAGTATCTATTAAAGTAGAGAAATCAGTTAATTTCAGTTTATTAGGCCAGGGGGAAGAGAGAAAGTCCAGTGATGAAGGATGTTTTCTCTTTGAGATTCAAATAGCTAGTACACATCTGCTGTTCTCAGCTTTTGCGAATGTGTTTGGGTGGAGGCAGTCCATGTCACAGGCTCTAGCAGCAAACGAGGGATCCAGCATTTGGATGGCTGTTCTACTTCTCTTATGGGGAGAACAGAGAGTGCTGTCCTCTGACACAAAGTGACTTGTGTAAATGTCCATTTCTCATGTAAATGTCTGTGTGTGCTCATGTGGATTAATTCATGGTGTGAAATTTGGTAAATTGATCAGATTTCAGATTTCAGTCATGACAATGGGTAATCCAGAAAGAACCTAGTAAGTGTTGTATCCCAACTTGGAGTCATTTAAATAGGGTCAGGGAAAGGGAGCTGGGAACTGGACTAAGTATCCATAGAGAGATGTGTCATAGGAAAAGATGTTGGGACAAAGGGTGAAAAAGGTCAATACAGAAGATTTGAGAAGAGTCTAGAGCTGTACTGTCTAATAAATATGATAGCCATCAGCCACATGTGAGTATTTAAATGAAACTAAGAATTCAGTTCTTCAGTTACATTAACCATATTTCAAGTGCTCAAATAGCCACACGTGGCTAGTGAATTTGGAATTAGTGCAAATATATACTATTCCCAACATTGCAAAAAGTTCTATTGGACAGTGCTTGTTAGGAGCAGGGGTCAACATACTTTTTCTGTAAAGGACCAGGTAGCAAATATTTCAGGCTTATAGGCCAGCCATACAGTCTGTTACTATTCCAACTCTGCTGTCATAATGCAAACGCATCCAAGAAAATAAGTAAATAAGCATGGCTTATTATTGAAACTTCATTTATGCACACTGACATTTGACTTTTATATAGTTTTCATATCACAAAATTTTTTCTTTTGATTATTTTTCAGCCATTTAAAAATGTAAAAACCACTCTTAGCTCATGGCACACACCAAAACAAGTGGTGAGCCTGATTCGATATGTGGGCCATAATTTGTCAACCCCTCTCTAGAGGAACAGGAAGTCAAAACTTAAAAGTTTTTTACTATAGAGGATATCAATCACTTGAAAATTTTAGTGGTTCTTCCAGACTTGAGAACTTTCTCTGTATAAAAATCAGGGTTCACTGTAGGAATGTCTTCCTTTGTTTCCTAATTTTGCAGTCCAGTCTCTAATAGAGTCATGTTCTTCAATGGAAGATGACTACTCAGGTATTAACTTTTAATTAAGTCATACAAGTCTAAAACACTAAACCCTACTCTTTCTCAACCTGCTAAGGAGATGAATCATCATTGGTAATATCACCTACTACAGGCTAGAAGTTTGCTGTCACATGAGATCAGTTCTGTCCTTGTACTGCTCTAAGCAAGCTGAATATTGGTGAACCAAGGGGAGATTATCATCCTAGGTCAGTAGGCCAGACAGCCTTAATAATCATCTTCAGTCATCACCCCCACCGCCAAACACATAAAACAGACACACACATTTGTGTGTAGCGAGAGAGAGTTAGGGATTTTATGACTTGGCTCTGTCCTCAACACTATGTTGCCCGCAGCTGTTGAAAGATGCCTCAGGGAAAGCAAAGAAAGAAAAGATAAAAACTGCAGTTGAGTCCTGGCAGGGTCGCTGGGTTGGTTAAAGCATTGTCCCCAAATCCCGAGGTAATGGGTTTGATCCCTGGTCAGGGCACATATAAGAATCAACCAAGGGAAGCATAAATAAATGGAACAACAAATCACTATTTTTATCTCTAAAATCAAAATTTAAAAAAATTAAGGGGGTGTGCAGGGTGGAGGGGAATGAAGGGGGAAATAGAACAACTGTAATGGCATAATCAATAAAATATATTTTAAAAAAGGAAAAAATTACAATAAAAACCTGCAGAGTTGACTGAGATGGTCAAGGACACAGGAAGGATGTAGTAGGGGTTAAAATGTGGAGAGCCTGGAGAATTAAGATAAACTTCTGTTTGCTGTGGAAGAAGGTAGAAGTTTTAGGAAAGGAGGTCCTGAAGATTATGTTTCACAGTGAAAAGTGGGCTTGTTTATACAAACCTGAACTGAATACTGTGTATTAGATAGTGTTCTGGGTAATTGGAGATGAATGGCAGGTAAATACAAGTTACAGTCGTTAGTATGATGGGTTGGAAAAGCACAGAATAAGACTTTTACATAATAAAAAAGTAGTAAGATTTGATGGTAGGATGGTGAGGAGAAAAGGTATATAGAAGGATTAGAAATGGTACTTTTAAGAGGAAAACAAATGGAAATCCGAGAAAAGGAAACCGGAGGACAAAGGATAAAAATGTAGGGGGTTGATATTTTGCTGAACCAAGGGATAAAATGGATGAAACCATCATGAGCTGTGCTCGCTCTTCGCTTTGTGGATGTTAACGTTCAGACCCCGTAGGGCCCTTTTCCCACAGTCGAAGGACACCTACAGAATTGGTGTCTTCTGTATTTAAGTTACCCTACCCAGAGACCTCTCTGCGAGGAAGTCTGGTCCAGCGAGAGTTCTTTCCACGAGGAGAGAGCGTTAGGTTCGAGCTTCCAATCCAGGTTTCTTCGAGTTTATCTCTGTTTTAACCGGCTCGCCGGGTTTTCCAGCATTCCCAGAGCAGACTCTAATCCTGGCTCCTAGTGACCGCGCATTCCGAGACCCAGGATTTGGCTTGTCTATCCAGGTTCCGGGTTTCCCCTGCGCTCTCCCGCTCCAGACTCCACACCAGCCTGGAATCCGGATCCGAGGGCCTTTTAGTCCAGTGTCCGGGACTTCCGGGCGGCCCTGCTTGTCCCGGATCGCGGCGGCGGCGGCGGTGGCGGCGGCTGAGGGACCCGCGGCCCCGGACACAGCGGCACCGGCCGGGCGGGGCGGAGCGGCGCGGGGAGGGGCGGAGAGCCGGAGCGGAGGCGGGGTGGGGTGGGGGGGAGGGGCTGCGGGAACGGATGGCGGCCTGGGCCCGGTAGCAGCGGCGGCTCTACGGCCCGGGGCCCCGGGCCAGAGGAGGTGGCGGCTCCCGGGACCGGCCGCGCGGTGAGTCCGGAGCTTTGTGTGGAGCTGGGGCTGGGGGAGGTGGGAGGCGGCAGGCGGCGTCGCTGAGTGGGTCCGGGGGGCAGCGGCTCAGGATGGAGGAAGTGGGGGTTGGGGGGCCGGGGCGGAGCTTGGGGGAAGGTGTGTTTGGGGGGGTAGGAGGGGGGTCGTTGCGTGGGTGGGGGAGGGGGGCGTCTAGGGACCTGGGGTGAAGTTCAAATCACGGCTGGAGCCAATTCAGGGTGAAGGTAGGGGTGCCCAACAGGGAATTAGGGTCTGGTCAGGTTGTGGGGTCAGGCCAGAGAGTTTGAGGCCAGTCTGGTTATCTTGAGGGGGCCCATGGAAACTGGGGCTAGTCGGAGAGTTAGGGGGGTTCAGAGCTAAGGGTTCGTAGCAGGACGTGTGCGTGGCCCAGAATCGGGGAGCAAGGTAGCTGGGAGTGTGCAGTAAGTAGGTTGTGGGTGTGTGCTCCTTCTAGTCGTCAGGTCATATTTACCCCTGTCCTCTACAAGATGGAGGGATTCTTGGGCCTGGCCCTTAATTCTGTCCTTGTTACCCCACCCCCGCCCCCCCTGCAGGGTTTGTGACCCTGTCCTGTTTGGGAAACCCATGCTGCCCTCTTTTCCCTTTATGTGTAATTACGGTTGGATCATCTCTGTGCTTTGCTCAGATTCTCCTTCCTCCCTCTGGGGTTGAGGAGGAGGAGACACATCTGACCAATTAATGTGTGTTTGTGAAACAGGGAGCAGCAAACAGTCATTTCAGCTTCTAGGAATTAGGCTCACACAGGGTGGAGAGATCAGAGCCCTTCAGGGAGAATATTTCTGAACAATTCATAGATGATTGAATTCTCCAAGAAACAGCTTCCTACCTAAAATGAGAGTAGGGAAGATGGGGGAGAAAGCCTGTCTGTTTCCAGCCATGTGTCCAGAGCCCCAGGGGTTGAGTAGAGTCCCCAGTCCCCAACAGGCCTCTCTTCTCTGTATTAGGCTTTGCTCTGCAGCCTTGAGTTAATTTCACCCCTGCTGCTTTGTCTTGGGGGAGGGAGTGCTGGTTTAGGCCGTTGTGAAGAGATGACTGTTCTGCTGCCACACACAATAGTCGTGTCATTTTATCGGGAGTGCTACCCCAGGGCTGAGAACTGCTGCTGCAGAGATAAACCGGTCCCTCTCACCCGCCTATTGTGTACACAGTGAAGGTCATAGGTTCAAGTCTTGTCTGAGAGCTTTGGATATGCTCCATCTCCCAGGCTTCTCAGTGCCATTTTCTTCCTTTTCCAGACTGGGGCTTGCCATTGGAGGAGGCCAGACAGAAAGGCTCTTCTTTTTGAGTGAGGAACAATGCAGAGCTCATTGGCACACATTTTTCAGAAGAATAGGGGATGCCAGCCATGTTGTGCCTGTCTCTTTAGCTAGCCTGTACTAAGTTGTGGAGGAATAGTGTCTGGGAGACTCGGCCCCGGTGTTTATGTCAGATCTCCAAGGGAAGGTTTCTATTCTTGTTGAACCATCATATTTAATTCTTTTTATAGGGATGGGACATTCATAAATGATTTTTGTGCATTTGTTTAGGAATACCACCAAAAACCTATACAGGGTTAATACAGGCAGTCAAGGACCCAGTATCTTTTTAGTGGTCACTTCCTGGTCAGTAGTAATTGCACAACAAAAAAGCCACAGAATTTGCCTATCTGGTCAAGGGGTATAGGAAGAAATTAACTTTCCTTTTAACCTTTATTTTAATACTGATGAAAGGAGATGATTTGCTTATTGTGCAGAAAGTCCATATCTGCCTCTTTATTAAGGAGAACTGTGCCAAAGAGATGAACATTTAAAAAATCTTTTGAGAGCTTGAGAGTTATTAATGAGTGAAAGATAAGAACAAGCTAGAAGGAATCCTATTCCTACATATATCTCATAGAAATGTTCAAAATACTTTTAGGTAAAAAAAAAAACAAAAACATTTGTTGCTAGAAATGAGGTTTTAATTTAAAACACTAAAGAAAACTTTTGTTTATAAAGAGATAGGAATGTTGTGAGAGAGCAGTTGTACACAATAGCCAACCATTTCACATAGGGTATTGTTGAATAGAAACTTGAGCCTTTGGTTTTGGTAAAGGTCTTTCTGAGGTGCTGAATCTATGTTGCCTCCCTGATTACTTTAGTTCAATGAGTCTTTCAAAATGATGGGTCACTGCTTAGGTGTTGGGCTCTGTTAGGAAGTTGTTCTGACCTTTGTATTTCCTAATGACAACTGTCTTAAGGTCTTACTAGAGGGGTCTGTCTTTAGGCTACTTTTAGTTGGTATGTGTCCTAGGTGTCTGAGTGAAGCCTCAGCTAAACTGAGTCCAAAGCTTTTTGCTCTTGGGCTGTTGGCATTCTTTTCTGAATCCTGTCAGGTGACAATGAAGGCAGAAGCCTCAGGTTAATTTGCCCTGATTAGATATAGTGGTTTCAAATTTGGGCCCTTGCCACAAGGAGTCTCATGAGTCTTCTGATTGTGATTATCCTTCAGACAGCACTTTGGATTCTACCACTCCCCACCCCAGTATCTTGGTAGAAAGTATTTCTCTGTGAGAAGTCTAGATAGCTGGACAGATTTGTCCTTTTTTGTGTGTGAGGATATGGAAGCATAATTTTGGCTCCTGGTAGTAATTATGTTGCAATTAGCATATAGCAACTAAATGACTGGAACAGGATAATTTGTTGAGGGGTTTGCTGATTGCTCTGTCAAGTGGAAGTGCCACTCCTTATTTATTTGACTGGGAACTCCACTGCCTGGACTCTACCATGGAGATTTACAAAGTATAGGAATGACGTGTGGTCCCCAGAACTTCTTGCCCTGCTTGCTCTCTCTTATTACTGCCAGGTATCCTGCACCTTCTACTGCCACTTTCTCCATCTCCAAAGGTGGTCGCTAAGCAGTTGTGGAAAATTGGTCATGGATGGTAATACTGACAGACAGATGGGGTCACTCTGAGATAAGGCACCTTTATGTTGTGAGGCAAGTTTTCTTTTCAGCAGCTGAATTCTCACTGCTACTTGATTTTTAATTTTTTAAATTTATTTACTTTTAGAGGGAGGGTAAGGAAAGGAGAAAAAGAGGGAGAGAAATATCAGTGTGTGAGAGATAAATCAATCAGTTGCCTTTCAAGCGCCCCCAACTGGGGACCTGGCGGGCAACCCAAGCATGTGCCCTGAATGGTAATTGAACCATCAACCTTTAGGTTTGCAGACTGGTGCTCAATCTACTGGGCCCCACCAGGCAAGGGACTGCTACTTGATTTTTAAAATCCAGTTTTCTTAAAAAAAAAAAACAAAAAAAACCCCAAAGAACAAGAACAACAAAACCTCACAAAATACAAAAATCACATAGTATGCAAAATAGGCCTTCATAATGTCTCATAAAAGTTGGCTGTTACAGACAAAACGAAGATAAGGTGATTGCTGATTGGCAGATTCTGGGCCCACTAAGTGTCAGTGAAGGACTCTTTTCATTAGGGAACAGGTAATTCACCAAAGCACCTGCCTAGCTGGGCATGTGAAATTGGCAGCAGCTGTGCAGCTGAAGAGGGATTATTGAGCAGGTGGTTAAAGAATCACATGCCACAGTGACAAGAAAATACTTGGTCTTTCGTGGTTTAGGTTCAGTTCATATGTGTGAAATTGCTCTTTGTTTTATATTTCTTAATGCCTGATACTGGTTTGTTAGTGAGACAATAATGGAATAGAGAAAAGAGATTTCTTTTTTTCTTTGTTTCTTTTAAATTACTGAGTAGCTTGCCTTAGACATGGTCCTATAGAGCCCTATTGTATTTCTGTGAGTTCTGGCTTTATGCCCTATGAATGGGAAGGAAATAGTGGTAATTCAGTGTTTCTAGTACTTGTTTATTAAAGGGAAATGGGAAGGAGAAAACTCTTTGCTTTCAGTGTGGTGAAAAAGATTTAGCCCACTGGGAGGATACCCATCAGGTTTTGGGCAAAGTGGGTAATTGACTTTTTGAATTAGGTCTATCTGACATGCCTTACTTAAGAAATAGACATGTGTTTTTACTTTATGAATATAAGTCTATGTGAAATTTACATCTCTTCAGTTTGTTTTATTTCCTTTTTCGTTTCTCCCAACACCTTTATAACTTTTAAACTCTGGCATTATGATTAACATCACTTGTTAGAATCAAATGATCACCAGAGGACCATATCATATTAAGGAAATATCTCCACTAAATATTTATCTTTAAAACAAGAGGAGGATTTTCTATAACTTAGAGGAAGACTTTCTATTTGATGTTTTCTGCAAATTTCCAGATTTTCCTTGAAGGTATCATCTTTTGTTAATACAATTTTCTTTCACATGGTCATGCCACTAGAGTAGGCAGTACCATAGAGCCTAAATTTTATAAGCAAGTAACTTGGTATTTATTTTCTGACTTTTTTAGTGCCTTCCAGTTGTTAGGCTGATGGGTTGTGTGCTGCTTCTATTGACGTGTGCACGTGTATGCACATACACTATGTATATGTGTGTGTATGGATATATGTACCTAATGAAGTCATGGGGTATTAATTAACAGTTGATTGACGAAAAAAAGGCATATTAACTGTTTCAGAGTCCAGAAATCCCTTTTTCAAGCGGAGTGAAGGCTCTTACCTGTATGTCAGAGAAACAGATATAGGTAGGTAGGGAGCTGGATAGGTAGATAGGTAGGTAGATTGATCTGGGGTGAAGGGAGGCAAAAGGTATGACTCTGAGGCTGGGGCCAGTGGACCATTGTAGAGACAGGAACATCAGGAAGAATCTACTTGAACCTAGTTTGTAATCTAGCTTTTAAGTGGGAGCCTAGCAATTATTTGTTTAGTTTTTACTTCTGGGAAAAAAATACAAACCTCTTCATTTCCCCATATGAAGCCATCACAGTTGTTTGTTTTAAGCAGTTCACGAAGCACCATATACTTTCCTAGCATTCTCAGTAGTTTGCTTTCTCATGCTTTTTTCCTCCCGCACCT